TATTGTCTCTTGGTATGAGTGTTGTTAATGAAAGTGTATAGACTTTATTACAAGGAAATATAAAATTTTCTTGGAACGTCTGTTTTTTTGTATTGGCAAAAGAATCAGCGGGAAGAGTTTTTTTATTTATTTAAAAGTAAACTATTTAATTATTATTTTTTTTAATAATTAAACAAATACAATTTTATTGTTTTATTTAATTTTTTATAAATAGAAATACAATAATATATAATTTATATATATACAGTTTTAATACTTAATTACTTATTGTTAATTTAATTTTTAAATATTATTTTAAAGATAAATAAAGTTGTTTACTTTTTTTTATTACTTTTTTACAATAAATTTCATATATATCAAATAAGTTTAAAGTTTTTATTTATTTAAGACATGATTCTATTTAGTTGAGTTTTATATTAATAAAAAATTTTTTTTATTATTTATATTTCTTTTATAATTCTAGTTATTCTTCTTTTTATAACAAGTATTAAATTAGATAAGTTAATTAATTTTATTCTTTTTAGTAATAATAATTATATATTTTAATTAAAAAGATTTTAATTAAAAAAATAATTTTATTATTATTGTATGGGTTTTTTTATAACAATATTGTTTTTATTTTAATTATTTAATTGTTAATTTTTTTTGTTATTATTTTTCTATTTGTATTGTAATTATAAGAAAATGATTAAAGAAAAAATAGACTATTTGTAAATAAGCTTTTTATAAAAAGTAATAAAAAGTTTATTAGATCTATAGGTCTATAGCACAATAATAGTGCTCCATAGGTCACCAGGGTTCAATTCCACCTGATTACAAAAATTTATCACCTTTATGATTGATTGACTGGTTTTCAATTCATGTCATATTCAATCAGCTAACAATTTATTCTTCAAATTTAGTTAAGCTGCATGAAGATGGAACCTTTGGTCTTCCTGACAATCGTGGACTAAAAACAGGTCAAAGCAAGGAAGGTTCCATAAGAAAAGGCTTCTGGTCTAACTCCAGTAATAAGTCCATAAACTCTAACCCAAACTGGTGATGGCAGACTCCGTCACACAATATAAAGAGATTAATTTTAAGCTGATCTATTCCAATCTGGAGCTTGTAGATCTATCCCAATGATAATGTTTCACAGAACTTAATTATATAACTAAAGGACAAGGTATCAATCACAGGTGATGAGAAGACTAGACAAAAATTGTTAAGCCAAGTGAGTCTAGTAAGGATCTACAAGATTAAATTGAAATCCAAACAAGGACACCAATTTCACAGATGGTGAAAATAGTAGTGCTGCACCATACTAGTAGTACATTCTGAGGATCGGTGATAACAGTGAATGGAATACTGGAATTAATCTTTATAATAATATTCCACAATGTACCCCATCCATGATGAATGCAGTCGAGACTGGATCTAATAGGTTAAATAGTTTAAACCAGTAATAGAATTTTCATCTCCTATGTAAGTTCCACCTGGAATATGGATCATCTACTTGATGTTTAAAATTTCATATAGCTAGGTATATCATAATTGGTCTAGGGGAAACCAGAATTACTGGAAACAGTGATCATCAGGTAGTATTAATTTGCATTTAGGATAGCAATAGCCTACTTTGTAAATATGTTTGATGTAATGACTACAAAACAAATGTTTAATAAAATGTCTTGCATCTAATGCCCTTAGCCAATTAAAAAAAAAAAAGTAATAAAAAGTTTATTTTAAACTTCAATTATTATATTATAATTTATACAAATTTGATAATTGTTATTAAAATTTGAGATATTCAATGTATTAGATTATATATTGGAATTTGACTCTATACAGTTATTTTGTTAATACTATCAATTAATAAATTATTATTATCTTTTTTTCTTCTGCCTTTTTTTATATCTACATTTTCATTTCTTTAAACTTGATTTGTATTGTCTTTTTTTTATTATCAAAATATAACTTGCAATTATAAATATTTTTATATCTTGAGTTTCATATTTGTTAATAGAATTTTTTGTACTATAGGTTTGATATATTGCTAGCAAACTACTTAATCATTTTTTTATATTTCTAAAATATATAATAAAAAAAATTAGAATATTTAATACTTATTTATTGGTTTTTTAAATATATATTTACAGTTCATTTAAATTAAATTTAATAAAAAAATTTTTTTAAAAATAATAAATATAAATAAATATTGAAATAAACTTGAAAACTTAAAAAATATTACTGAGAAACAAAGTTTTACTATTATATCTAAGAGTTACAAAGTCTAATTAAGCTATTTTTTATTTATCGAGTATATATTTACAATATCTTTTACATTTTGAATTCGGTTCAAGTAAATTCTAATCGGATGGCCTTTTATAAACCTTAATTCGAAATTTATTTTGTTAAAAGTTGAAAAATTTGGTTTCTTAAATATTTTTTCTTACTATCGAAACTTCGCATTTTTCAAATATTAGAACAAAATAACATTTAATAAAAAGAAAAAAAAACATAAGTAAAAAAAAATCTACTCTATTTAATACAATAAACGAATCAACAAATATTTAATAAGTAAATTATTATAAGTAAAAAATAAGCGATTTAAAATAATTGAAAAAAAATAAAACATTTTTTTTAGAATTTTATAATATTTTATATTACGGTCTTACAAAACGTATTAGTAGTATATATAAGTTTATCATAATCTAACATTCTCATTTCAACACGAATATAAAAATGTAATTGTTTTTATACAATAAAATTATAAAGTTTGAAATAAAATAACCCATTAATATTTTCTAAATTACAACTATTACAACTCTAAAAACTATCACATTGTTTTTTAATAATTATAAATATTCAGTTTACATAAAAGAATACATGCAGCTTATTTATTCTATAATATTTAGAGTTATATATTATTTTTTTAAAAAAAAAAAGGTTTGAGCACAATACAATGAAATTCTCAATGTAAATTATTTGTTCTTTAATTTATCTGTCAACTCTGGAACAGCCTTAAATAGATCTGCAACAAGACAATAATCAGATAGCTACAAGAACATTAAGATAAAATTAATAAAATAATATATAATCAAAATTAATTAAAAAATATTCCAAAAGAAAAAATACCTGAAATATAGGCGCATCGGGGTCACTATTGATCGCTGCTATAACCTTACTATCCTTCATCCCAGCGATATGTTGTATAGCTCCACTAATGCCGACTGCTAGATATAATTCTAATAAATAATATTTTGTGCAATATTAATCATAATATTTATAGGATCTAAATATGATACATTAATGTAAAAGTAAATTCTTACCCGGAGCAACAACCTTTCCTGTCTGTCCCACCTGTAACGGAAGTATTCTGTCAATTAGGTACTAAATGTAACATCAAATAATCACATGTTACCTGTAAAGAGTTGTCACAATATCCCGAATCGACAGCAGCTCTCGAGGCCCCAACTAAATAGGTTCGTTAAAATAAGTACTATAATGCAAGCAAACATCCCTATATGTAATAAAGTACCTGCTGCACCAAGAGCATCTGCAAGATTAACAATTAATTTGTCAAAATTTTCGCGACTTTTCAAAGCTCTGCCTCCTGAAACAACCCTTGTTGCTGATTCCAATTCAGGACGATCACTTTTTTGAAGTTCCTCGCTTATCCACTCAGAAAGGACCGGCTTTTCAGCTTCTGGAGCAGGTTCATGACTAGCCTCGATTTCACAAACCTCTGCGGGGGGGAATGCCGTTCCACGAATAGTAATAACCTTTATAGGATCTTTCGACTTTACTTTAGTAATAGCATTACCTATCCAACATATGTGTATTGTTAAAATCTTATCTTCTATTACAAAAGTTTCAGGTTCACGTACCAGCATATATAGGTCGAACAAATATTTCGGATGACTCTATGTCAATAACATCAGATACCTGAGAAACGTCCAATAATGCAGCGACACGAGGCATGATATTTTTTCCAAAAACCGAATGAGGTGCCACTAAGTGAGTAAAATTCAGTTTTTTTTGTGTATTCACCAGAAGCGGGGCATAAATTTCTGAGAGACCGTGCTCATAGAGTTTGTCTTTCGCTATGAGCACCTTTGATACTCCTTTAAACTTAGAAAGCTTTGCGACAACAGGATCAGGATTTTCTCCTGCCACCAAAGCTGTCACGCTTCCTCCGAGTTTATTTGCTGCCGTTAATGCATTTAGAGTAGACGTAGAAACAGTATTATCTTTATGCTCCACTAGAAGCAAGGTAGATATATCCTGGCTAGTGGCATAGCCTCGAATAAAAATATTAGAACGAAGCTATTTAAATTATTTAAATAAGGTTAGACGTATATATTTTTAACTTATCTTATAATAAAGTGTATTTACCGTCAATGAAGCATTTTTTTTAATGACTCGAACGGTAGCTCTTCGAATGGCATACATTGTAGTGTCATTCAAAAAATTTGTTATAAGCTTAAATTTAACGGGTAACTCAGAGTTACACGAGATGATGCACGATATATCAAATCTTATAAATTATACTGTATTACGTAAAAAATGGGATTTTTTTTTTTAAAAAAATTTATTGTTCTATTAAAGCAAAACTTCAATTAAATATAAATAAACTTAAAGTTTTTTTTTAATAGAATCATAATAGTTGCTTTTATAATTATATATATACTGTATATATTATAAATAAATATTAAATACAAATCTTTATTAAATATAAGTTTATTATTTTTTTATTTTAGAATAAATTTAAAAAACTTAATATTATTATAATTAAAAAGTTTATAGTTTCTTACAATAGCATGTTTTAATATTTCAAGTTAGTAATATTATAATAAAATTGTTAAAAAATAAAATTTAATTAATATATTAATTTTGTAAAATTTTGTTTTATTAAAGAATTAAATTAATTATTAATTATTAAAATACAATTTAATAAGTTATTATATTTACTGTAAATATTTATATTATATACTATTTAAAAAAAATAATTAAAACATTGTTTTTTGTTTTATTTAACTTTTAAATCTTAACAAAAACTATAATTAATTTATTTTTTTAAATAATTAATATAAAATAATTATATTATAAAATATTATAATAAATTTATTAAATTAGAAATAGCTATTAAACTGTTCATATATAAGAAATATAATTTATAATAATGAATAAAATCTGTGCATATAGCACAGTTGGTATTTTTAATAATAAACTTAATAATAAATTATTAAATAAATTTTATTAAATTAAAGCATAGTGTTATATATACTTATCAGAAATAATCAGACTATTATTCAAAGTATATAATAATATTATTGATATATTTCTTTAATAATCAATTAGTTGTAATAATTATATTATTATTATATTGATATGATTAGTAATTGGTTTGTTTATTAATAGTGTAATTGGTTTATTTGTAGTAATATAATTTTGTTTTGATTGTTATTATCAAAAAAGATTTTGTTTATATTAATCAATAATAATATTTTAGTTATACAAATTTGTTTGGATAATTAATAATATTTAATTAGTTGATTTTAAAATATTAATCAGTTGACAAGAGTAAATTAATTGTGGTTTTTATTTTTTGTAACATAACAAGATATACTAAGTAATAGTAAATATTTAATATATTATTAAATTTAATTTTTTTATTTATAAAAAAGATTTTTAAAAAAAGAATATAAGATATATATTAATAAAAATTAAAAATAAAAAAAATTTCAAAGAAGATTTATAAAGAAGTAACTGCTATAAGTAAAAATGGGTTCTTAAATTATTTAACATATAAAATTTTGCAGATCAATTATTTTTCTTTCGTTATTTTAATAGGGACATAATTCAAAAAACATTTAAATCAAGTGATCTAAATTGCAAAAAACCTTTGTAAGTAGTTTTTTTTTGACCTTATATTTAAAAAAAAAAACTTTTTTAATAGTAAAAAATATTTTAATTATGTTCTTGTCTTTAATTTGAAGACTTATCTTTAGCTATAGTTCTTTCTTTATACAATTTAAAGAAAAGCAAGGCTTTAAACTTGTTTTTCTCTAGTTAAAGATTCTATTTCGATATACTAATATATTTATTTGAATTTTTTCATTATTTTTTTGTATTATTATTATTGATACTATTTCTCTTATTTTATTTTATTTTTCATTTTTTACAATAACTCTATTAATTATATTAATAATATAAGAAGAAAACAACTAAGAAAAAATAGATTATTATAATTAAAATAAACTATTAAATAAGTTATTTAAGCTTCTATAATTATATTTTCTATACTAATTATTAATACTACTTCATTATTTTTAAAATATGTGACTATATTAAGTGACTTTTATCAGGTTAATACTATTTTTTTTTATTGTGAATGGACATTAAATGTGAGACTTTATTTAAATAAAAATTTACTGTCATTACATTAATAATATTTATAAAGTAAATTAATTATAACCTATTGCAACTAAACTATTGATATTAGGTATCACCATAGAGGTGGCTTATACCAATAGTGCTGAATGGCTAATGCTCTTTCAGAATGATGATATTACTATAAGGGTAAAAATTGATTTGTTGGTGTAATTGAATGTAACATTTAGCAGATTTAAGATTTTGTCGAATGTGAAATTATTATTAATAGTTGTATTTGTTGTACTGATGCTAGTTGTTTTTTTCCATTTGATTCCAGAGGCTAATGGAGTTGTTGCTGTAGCAAATCTCAACTTCCATTCTTTGTACAGGATTTTCAGTGTGTAGTTGAAAATATGTTCTTTTTTATGAAGAAGATAGAATGGATTGTTGAATTTGCCAATGGCCAAGTCCAATAAAGTGCTATCTATTAACTTGAATGTTGTAGTGAAGTCAATTTATTTTGATTTTTTGGAAAACATGTTATAATCTGGTATACTAACAGAATCATAAGCTTTATTTATATTTAGATTAAGAATTTACACTGTTTATTGTTTTGTTTGATGCTATTATATATTGCTTTGAGAATATTAATTAGTTTATATATATAATATTGCCTTATTTTAAGGTAATAGAATGGAATATGTTATAAAGATTATTATAAGTTTATTTGTAATTATTTTGATAAAATATTTCTTGCTATTTCTATAAATATTATAGGTCTTGTAATATTGAGATTGTTTTTTTATGGTTTTAGTTTAAATATAAAGTAGATATTGTTTTTAAAGATGAGTCCCTAAATTAAAGATTAGAATATAATTCAAATATTCCTTACTATTAAAAAAGTTTTTTTTAAATATAAGATCAAAAAAAAACTATCTACAAAGGTTTTTTGCAATTTAGATCACTTGATCCAAGTGTTTTTTGAATTATGTTCCTATTAAAATAATGAATAAATAATTATTTTCCTTCAAAAGGAACATAATTGATCTGCAAAATTTTATATGTTAAATAATTTACAAACCCATCCTTAACTGTCTTGTTTCTATTTTATAGATACTGTTTATATATTAGGATATTGTTAAAAAGAACTGAAAAATATTTTATCAATTCTATAATTAGCTTTTTAAAAGTAATATATAGAAATTTTTAATAGCTCTAGTATTAATTTGAAGAATTGGGATTCGGATGGCACATACCCCAAACAACAAACACACACTTCCAAGGACGAATCGAAAACTTTCCTTCATCAACCAGAGCAGAACTCGCAGCAATAGCATCCTTCCTCACAACAGCCCCAGCAGGCAGTACAGTCACTATCTGCAGCGACAGTCAAGCAGCCCTTAATGCAATCCAAAAAACACAAAACGATCACACACAAATTAAAACCTTAAAAAATGGAAATCTCATCAACACAATCATACATATTCTAGACTCCCAAAAAATAAAGCTCATAGGACAGAAAATCAAAGCACATAGTCAAAACCACGACAATGACAAAGCAGATCAACTAGCAAAAGATGCAACCAATCAAACAGCAAATGCAATCATTAGCTTTCCAGCCATCAGACATGAAAAACAAACATGGACACAAGAGTGGAACGGACAAACACTAGAGAACACAATCCCACTAACCTGCAAAAACATCACAAGAATCAAACATATTCTAAGCTGGAGAATGCTAGAACGCAACCGCATCACAACCGATAATCAACATACAAGCGACACTATCGACTGGACAGAAACCCTTAGAAGAAAACACCCATCCAAAATAACAACAGGACCCACCAACCATGAAGACCACACAAAGAGATCCTTCAGGCTCAAGCTTTGGAACCTAGAGTTACCTACCAAAAACAAACTCCACGAAAGATCCCCAGAGACATACACAGACGAAATATGTATCCTCTGTAACAAAGAAATAGAATCCAACACACATTGCATGAAATGCAAAAACAACGGCAAAGACATATTCAAAACACTGAACCAAATAATCAACGAAGAAGTCTGCAGCAGAACCACAACCAAACCAAAACATGAACTGAACA